GATAACAAAGTTGGAGGTCTCACACTGCCTGATTTCAGTAATCGAAGAATGTAGTACTGGAAAAAAGGCAGATGTGTAGACCAATAAAAGACTAGAGAGCTGAGAAATAAGCCTTCCTGCAGCTAGTCAATCTTTAAGAAGGATGCCAAGACAACATGATGGAAATAAAAATTTGAGTTCGTGTCCTTTGTAGGGACATGGATGAATCTGGAGAACATCATTCTCAGCAAACTGACACAAGAACAGAAAATGAAATACCGCATATTCTCACTCATAGGCAGGTGATGAAAAATAAGAACACATGGACACAGGGAAGGGAGTACTACACACTGTGGTCTATTGGGGGGAATAGGGGAGGGATAGCGGTCGGGGGGAGCTGGGGAGGGATAGCCTGGGGAGAAATGCCAAATGTGAAGGGGAGGAAGGCAGCTAAACACACTGCCATGTGCGTACCTATGCAACTATCTTGCATGTTCTGCACATGTACCCCAAAACCTAAAATGCAATAAAAAAAATTCTCTTTACCAAATGATGGTGTAAAAATTGGATATCCACATGCAAAAGAACAAAGACCCTTACTTTACTCCATATGCAAAATTAACATACTCAAACAAAGGCATAAATGTAGTATCTAAAATCATAAATCTGCTGGAAGGAAAAATAGGACTTATGCTAAATGAAATAAATCTGTCACAAAATGATAAATACTGTATGATTTCACCTTTATGAGACATAAATAGAAATAGAAAGTAGAATTGTAGCTGCCAGGGGCTACAAGGGTGGATGAAATGGTGAATTTTCCAGTGAATATAAAGTTACAGATATGAAGAAAAAAGTTCTAGAGACCTGTAGCACAACAATTTAAATATAATTAATGATAGTGAATTCTTCATGTAAAAATGAAAAATGGCAAAGATAGTAAATTGAGATGTATTTTTTATCAAAAACATATTTTAAAAAAGGATAAATTTAGATGTCTTAGTCAATCTATGTAAAAAAGAAATTCAGTCTGGGCATTTCTTTGCCTGTATTATTCTTTCTGCCCAGAATTACAAATCTATATTCCACAATACCACTCTACCTAATTAGTTTGTATTTGTTTTTCTGGTCTCATGTTCATTACACTTTCTTTTTCAGTCCTCAGACTACATCACATTGCCTTGTGATATGCTCACATATCAACCTGCACTACTCAGTTTTACCACTTATCAAGGCTTTTCATTGATTGAATACTTTTAATGATTTATTTTATGTCTATGGCCAGATAGCCGTTTCCCTACCTACCTACTATTTATTGCCACTTTTACTCTATCAAAATGACTCTTTATTATAAAATTTTTCACGTATTATAACGTGAAAAATTTCTGGCTAAAATCTAAATATAATAAACTCCTTTGTATCTTCAGATGACCATGTGGCATAATTTTGACCATTAAGATATAGGTAAAAATTATACAGTCAACTTCTGGGACTAATCTTTAAAATGGCAGCAGACTAAGCTAGAGCTAATGGTAGCTCTAGCTTATCAACTTTTCTCCATTCTTGCCTGGGACAGTCACAATACTAGAAAAGAAGCAGCCACTTTGCAATCATGAGATGACATCCACACACTATGCTGAGATCGAGTAGAAAAATAGATGTAAAATGAATTCCCCAATGGCATCACAGAGCCACCATACTCCTTGGGACTTCATTTTAACACAAGAAAAATTGCCACTTTTTTATTGTCATTGCTATTTTTTTTTAGAGTTTCTCTTACAGCTTCACAAAAAGATAAGCAAAGAAGAAATGATATTAAAACTCTTTTACCTAGACAAGAAAGTTGCATTCCATTGAACTGTATAACATGGCTTCAAACAATGATGTGGGGGAAAGTTACATGCCTTCCTGGGAACTTATGATTACAGAAGTCAGCAGAAGAAAACAAAGTTGAGAGTGAGGCCAAGACACCACCAAAGAAAAATAAGAGAGTTGCTCATCGAATGAGTTAAGTCAAAGGAAATGGAAGGAAAATTATGAGGTCTGTGGGCTATCTAATGCTCCTGTTATGAAGTGTGGTTGAGTTGGAGGAGAAAGGCTCAGGGCGGTTAGCATACTCATTATGTGCATTAAGTAGACTAGAGTGCATTACATGTGGAACCAATTGGTTTTATACAACCATGTTCAGCTGTCTTTTTAGAAAAACAATGACTAATGCATTTCTAAAAGTGTGTTTCTCTAAAGTCTATAGGTCGAAGTACAGTGCAAGTTAGGGAGCACCTCTCTGTCTCTTCTCTCCCACCAAATTCCCTCCCCTGGAGAGATTTTCCAAAATTTCTCCAGCTATGAGCCTCAGGTGTCCACACTGGGAAAAAGCCCACCTTGCCCATGAAGCAAGCCAAAGCCTCTTATTGGAAGCAAATCCTGGCCTTCCTTCCCCAGAGCTTGCATCTGACCAGAGCTTTATACTCTTTCCCCATTGACTAGGGGGTTGTGCACCTTGGAATAGACTTGCCCCATATACAGCTACTATGTATATCTTCCTGCTTCCTGCTGATTGACCTAGCCGTGGGCTCTTTACTTGCCCTGATCTTGCATAGTTTATATACACCTCCTTATTGGCTTGTCTTGTGGATTCTGATCCATTTCATGCTCTCACTTCTAGTACCCACTCAAGCAATAATTACTAACACTCTGCCTCTGCTTCCTTGGTTCTTTGGCTGGGCCCTAGCAACTCATTAAATTCTTTTGCAGGGCCGAATGCAGAGAAGCAGAAGGAGACGGAACTGTTCAGCAGGAAATTTATGTGTGCACATAACATGCACATATCCCAGCCACAAAATAGAAGCTAGACTTTCTGCCCATGGCTGTGTTTATAGCATCCTCTATCAACAAATCAGGAACTGCTTATTCCCTGGAATCTGATTTTGTGAGAAAGCTCAATTTCAGTTGTCCACATTTCAAATACTTAGCTATCAATTCCTTTTTGTTACCCTTTTTCCTCTTCTTTTTTCAAAATTTAACATTTTAATTGCTTGGGCATATCAAGTTCAGGTTTTCATAGATGAGTTTGTTCAAGCCAAATAAATGGTAAAATAAAAAATAAGGGAGCAGTTTATGGTGTGAAACTATTACTCTTTTTGTATATATTTGTTTGCAATTTGCTCATAGGGAATGGCAACTAAGCATTATATGATTATCTGTTGCTAGTTCAAATTCAAATCTTGGGGCCTTATTCAGGCTGCTATGACAAAAATGCCATAAACTGGGTAGCTTATAAACCATTCAAATCAGCTCTGTGTTCTTATCTTTTTAGGATTGCTAACTAGATATTATTGATGTAGTAACTAGAGTTACCTGGGTAAGAGTTAAATCCTCCATAAAACTAGAATAACTGATTGAAGGCAAGAAGGATAACATTGCATTCTTCTCAATATTTCTCATTTCTTATTGGAACAATGAATTAGTTCTTTCAGTGGGTAGTAGTACCTAGATTATTACAAACCAAGAAATAAGAAGAGGTGACTAGAATAAACATTTGATACCAGGATGGTGAAAAAAATTCTTTTCAAATAGAAACTCTAATTTCCTGTGTGATTAATGAGCTAGAATTAGTTAGTACTGGAGCTATCTCTATGAGATGTGGATTTCATTTTGGAGATGGGGTGCATACTCAACAGATGAACTGCTGGGTCATATGGGAGATATATTTTGATTTTCCAAGGAACCATTATACTGTTTTTCATAATGGATGTACCAATTCCATGTCTGTCAACAGCATATAAAGGTCCCCTTTTATGCACACCCTAAAAGGGTTTCAATTTCTCCACACCACTACCATCATTAATTTTTATCTCTTGACTTTATGATAATACACATCCTAGCAAGTGTGAGGTGATAGTTAATTGTGGTTTTCATTTGCATGCTCTGATTATTAATGATGTTGAGCACATTTTCATATACTTGTCGGCCAGTTGTGGGTTTTCTTTGAGAAATGCCTATTCAAGTCCTTTGCCTATTTGTTAACCAGACTATTTATTTATTTGATAGGGAGTTGTGTGAGTTCTTTATATATTTTAGATATTAACTTGTTATTAGATAGATGGTTCACAAATAGTTTCTCCCAAACCATAGCCTGGCTTTTCATTTTGTGGATTGTTCACTGTGCAGAAGCTTTTAGTTTTCAAGCTGCCCACTTGCCCTACTTATTTCCTCTTCCTAGGCCTCCACATTGTGTGAATGTGTGAGGCAATTCGTTAGAGTAAACCATGTCATATATATAATATTATTCACAAATACTATATGATAGTAAATAGATGTTTATGATATATAATATTACACACACACACACACAAATACCCTGTTGGGTTAGTTTCTCCTTCTCTGAGGAACCCTGCTTGATACAGATATGCAGCAGAGAGGGTGTGTTTGCTGAGCTTGACCCCCTGAAGCCAGTGCTTTAAACCATGAGAATGAAACATTTAGGGGCAATCTGTGGGCACTGGGATAAGAAAGGGAAATGGATACAATCTTTCACAGCATCCAAGGTCCTCGAGGATCAGCAGAGGAATGTGTAGGAGAGGGAGATGATTGCCATTTTCACATAGCCTTACACCTGTCCTAGTTAGCATGGAGGAGGTTGAGGTAGGTCATACAGAAACTGGGTAATGATGGAAGGTGGGAGGGAACAGAATGTACCACTGAATGGGGGGGGGTCCTGGGGAAACATCTGGAGGAAACACTCTCCCGTGCCACGTGATCTGCCAAAATTGAACATGGGGAGGTTAGGAGGGGTGACATGTCAGTTGGGAACTATCTTTAGGAGTGCTAATCATAATCTCCCCTTCTCCAATCACAGCATCCTGCCTTCCTCATCAAATGCCACCCCACCCCCACACTTCTTCAGCCAAGTCCTGATGGTGCTGTATGACGTCTAAGCCCATCCTTCCCGCCCAGGGCTACGATTGGCCTGGTGGCGGCATGCTGACCAATCAAAGCTCAGGGACGTGGTCGCTGCATTGTCCTGGGATCCCGGGAGGGGCACGTACACATAGAGCAGGCAGCCTGACATTGACGTTGGAGACGTTGATTTGAGCAAGATGGCGCCAAAGAGGAGAGCCTCGGGAGCGCCGGCCACAGCCAGGGAGACGCGGAAGAGGAAGTCTTCTTCTGAGGCAGAACCCAGTACCCCGAAGAAAGTGAGCGACCCACCCAAGCTCCTCCTCTTCTTCCCCTTGAATCCTTCCTCAAGATTCCTGCCCTGTCCTCACCTGGCACAACCCCCAGCCCGGCCCTCACCGCTTCTCAGGAAACGTCCCTGTTCCCAGCCTCCTCCATCCTCTCCCCTGACCCGGACAGAGCCCCACTGTGATCTCCCTGTTGTCCTTCCAGACGCCCAAGGAGGGCAAGAGAGGAAAAGCAGGTCTGGGACGGAGAGGCAGGAAGAAACGTGCGGCTGGGAAAAAGATGGCAGACGTGGGAGCCCCTGAGGCAGGGAGCGGGCCAGCACCACCCGGGCCCAGCAAGCCGCCAAGCCAGGAGCTTCCTTCGTGCCAAGTGCCTGTGAAGGAGGAGCCAGTGAGCGAGCACGACCTACCGAGCCAGGAGACCCAGCTGGAGGAGCCACTGAACCAGGAGACCCAGCTGGAGGATCCACCAAGTGACGTAATCACCATCTCCACCTCGTTGGATCCACCGAGTGACGGGATCAACATCTCCACCTCGTCCGTCAGCAGCGACTAAGTTCAGGCCCAGTCGCCAGGAGACCTCAGAGATCTCACCAGTGCGGGGTGGGGGGGGGGTGCCCCCTTGCTGTTGTCAATAAATCCAATTTGTTGCAAAATGATCCCAGTGACTGTGTTCTCTGATGGTGGGGAGAGAGGGAGAGCTGTTGTGTGGGGAGGAAGGGAAGGAGACAGAGGTGGTGTGTGGGGAGGAAGGGAGGGAGACAGAGATGGTGTGTTGGGGTGGACGGAGGGAGGGAGAGAGATGTGGTAGATGGGGGGAGGGAGGGTGGGAGGTAGAGGTGGTGTGCGGGGGTGGGGTAGGGAGGGAGGGAAGTAGAGGTGCCGTGTGGGAAGAGAGAAAGGAAAGAAGGAATGAATGGGTAGTATGTGGCAAGGAAGTGATGTGGGGTTCTGCGGGGTTAATGTCAGAAGGACAGGTCACAGACAGACAGGAGGATAAGGATTGTGTCATGGCTGAGCACTGGAGACAAATTTCCCCTTCACAGGATGACTTCACTTCTTGTGAGGTTTCTTTCTTCATGCAATGTTGCTAGCTCATACACCAACTACCAAGAACTGTATTCTCCCTACTTAGGTTTCATTGTTAAAATACCTTTTCATTTATAGAAACGGATGAAACAATCGTTTCCATTGTCTTTCCTTTCAGTGTCACCTAATACAATTAAGAAGAAAAATTCAAAGTAGAGCAAAACCTATCTACTTGGAAAAAGCCTTTTTATGTTTGCAACTGAGCAGACAGAAGGTACATTTTATATTGCCATACATTCGAAATATACAGGTCTTTTCTACATAGAGAATTTACTATATACAGATATGTAAATATATATGTAAATAAATTATACAATTATATTTACTATATACAAACATAAATTATACATATTTATATATAAGATATATAAATATGCAAATATGGATTACATATTTCAATATAAAAATATATGTTAGAAATACACATGTATTTTCTATATATACTAGAACCTACTGTATATTTATACATTAATAGAAGTATTTTTATATTTATATATAGATTACTTACAGAAATATCTATATATAAATATATATTTACATTGATGTATTATATGTAATCATTTATTTTAGAAAGTAAGTTTCTATGATTGTTGAAGCATGATTCACAGGCAAAAAAAGAAAGGAAATTATCACTTTAAGAAGAATGAAGAACAAAATTGTCATGATATAATACCCAGTTGTCAATAATTTCAATGAGAGAGTAATATAGAATGTGAGAGGATTTATAGAAAAGACCTGTGCATTCCTAATTTGTATTTATGTAATCTATATTATATAAATGCACAGGTCTTTTCTATATATAGTAGAACTTACTACAGTATTCCCAATGTGTGTGTGTGTGTGTGTATATATATATAATCTATATTTTTATATATTCATATAAATACACAGGTTATTATATAAACACAAATGTCTTTATACAGAAAAGACCCGTGTATTTCTAATGTGTATATATAATTTATATTTATCCCTATGCATTTACATATATAAAATCTATATATGTTTATATTTATATATGTATTTGTATATATTTATATTTATATAGGTAGATTTCATATGTAGATTTTATATGTAAATATATTCTATATAAATATATACAAATATAAAAGATATAAACATAAATATGTATTTTATGTAAAATAAATATTCTGTATGTGATTATTTATTTTAGAAGATAAGGTGTATTCTTGAAGCATGGTTCTCAGGCAAAAGGAGAAGGAAATTACCATTTTATGGAGAATAGTACAAAATTATCATGATTTAATTTCCAGTTGTTAATAATTACACGAACAGAATAACTTATGCCATTTAATCTTATAATGAATAGCACGTTAAACTTTAGTGTGATTATGAAAATATGAATTTTCATATAATAAAGGTTTGAGGTGTAAAGCACTGACTTTACAGGCGGTTTTCATTTGTTACACAGATTGTTCCTACAGCTTTAAAGATGCTAAAATTAATGGTGGCTTGAAGAGCTGGTAGCATCTTTTGAGAAACAATAAATGAATTCTGTTGCATCCCTGTCCTTGGTGCTGTCAGGACTTCACTTCATTAGCTTAGGAAGGGATTTCAGAGCTTTGCATGTTGAACTTGTAGCTGCCTCCTACGGAACCCTATGAAACCTAGGACGCTGTACCACAGAAACAGGGCCTTGCCCCATGTCCCGAACACCATCATTTTGTGGAATATTTCTTTTGTATTTCATATATGGACATACCATATAAGGATGAGCATGCTTGGTATAACTCAAAGCCTGTGTATTTGCAAGGCTGTATTGACCCTGAACAATAACTATTTGTATGTTATGGACGGGAAACACGTCCAAATGAAAAGCTCCTGCTGTCTTTTAGGAAAGCCTATTGGCCGTGGGTGTATGTCTCTTTCCAAAGGTAGGTTGGTGAACTTTCCTCTACAGTTTTTACAGCGTAAAAACTGCAATAAACAGAGTCTTGTCAGTGGTCACTTTGGGGTTTGGTGTATATTAGGGAGCACGTTAGCAGTGTGTTTCAAAATTGCATTCAAGAATCAATTTCATACACCTTATTTTAATGCCATATTTTCATTCAAGCTCTGCAATCAAAACAGTCTGTGATGATTCTTTTGGCATTTAAAACATTATCTATGGGTCTTACACCGTGTTTTTTTCATCACCTGATGGCAGTTGGAGCTTCAACTGCTATTTGCTGGAAACCCATCCTGACTAGCTCTTTCCCTGGGGCTTCATGTTTTATTGTGATGATTGGCTGACTTATCTTTCAGGCATTTTCAGCTTTGGGAAGTTACTAGGATTTTGAAATTATATAAAATGTCACTGAATTTATTTTCACTGGCTGTTTTAATTCATTATGGATAATAAGTGGTTTACTCGGAAATCAACAATTTCATAATCTTTTAATTTTTTGGAACATTCATAAATACATCTTCATTTAAGTCTTCCTTTATGCTACATGTTATATACACAGTTAAGTCAACTAATAAGAGTTTTAAATATCTTCCGTCCTTCTCCGACTACCCACAAGCTCAGGCTTAAAATAAACAGTGGAATGAGTAAAGAAGTAATACATCAGCAAAACTGTAGTTGACTTTTATAATAAAATAATAGATATCAAGCTTCCTGACGTTTTTAGGCAAATCTTCCTGTGTCCCTAAAGGGCGGATCCCCTTGACAATCGTCACCAACAACAGGTAATCTTGATGTTCTCAGCTGTCAAGGACAGTCGGTGGGAAAATTTGAAAACACCTTGTACATATTAAAGAGCTAAGTATGAGATGATGTAGACATACATATGTCTCTTTCTCATTAGACCGCAGGAAAGAGGACACACGGCAGGAACGCCCATGTCAATTCCCCTTGACCATGCAGCTTTCTCTGCTCCTGATTCCTGAGAACTTTCCCACCTTTGCTCATTCCCAGCTTCAGATTTCCACATGTGCGGATTGATTTTAGCCCAGCATTAATGCTATGAAAGACACAGAATTGCTCTCAAAAAACTCTGTAATTGAAAAATGACAGGAGAAGCTCAACTCGATGGCTGGGTGCCAGAGGGAAGGCCTTCCACTGTTTTGAACCCTGGCACTAATCTCTAGAATAACTGCAGCTGCAGCCTATAGGACATGGGCATGTGTCAGGCAGGCTGTGAAATGCTCCCCATGCACGACCTCATTGCTCCCTCACATCACCCCTATGGATTAATCGGGGCTCTTGAGAGACACCACCAATAGGATATCAGCAAAGATGGACGAGAGGAGAGTTATTAGGGGAATTGGAGAGTGAAAAGTCTCAGGACAGGCTTTCGGCAAGCTGGAGCCCCTGGGATGCCAGGAGTGTGACTCAGTTCACATCCAAAAGCCTCAGAAGCAGGGAAGTGGATGGTGTAACTCTCAGTATAAAAAGAGCCTGCAGTTGTGGTGTCCACGGGCAGGAAAAGAAGAGTCCCAGCTCCAGGAGAGAAAGGGAGGAAAGTGCCTTTCCTCTGCCCTGTTTCTTCTGTCTGGGCCTCGATGAATTGGATGGGGCCTGTCTCTATTGAAGGCATCTTCCCCGCTCTGTCCACCAGCTCACACCAATCTTCCCAGGAATATCTGCGGGTTCACTCAGAAGTAATGCTTTACCAATTCCTGACATATTCCTTAAGGCAGCCACATTGACACCTGAAATTAACCATCGCACCCTGTAAAATGGATGGGATCCCCACTGGACACATGTGACAGTTTGGGTACCTTTCTTATAGTCCTTATAGGTTATAGAGCCAGCATTAAAACTCAAGTCTACAATGATCAAATGCTAAACTCCAAAGGACTGCTGCTTAGTGTTGCGGAAGCAGCACTGTATTACACACTGTATGAGAACTGGAGAGTCATTTGAGACACATCCCCTGCTTTAGGGAACACATCCTAGCTTGTGTTCATGAGAGGAGTCATATTTCTGTGACTGAACTACAGACCCCAGAACCAAGTGTGAATTGGCATGCTTTAGGTGTGCATAAGCTCTGCAGAAATCCTAAGAGCAAGACAAACATAGGCTCAATTCATATAGGGAAGTTTTTATGGAAACAGCTTTTAGCCAATTCCTGAAAGAAAATACTTTTACTGAAGGAAATATTTTTGCTGGAGAATAACTAGTTGAAGGGCTTTTGGGGGGTAAGGGGCCCTGACAGAGGTCCACAGAAGTGGTAAAGAATACACACAGAATAGAAACAGAATTGAGGACCTGTCATGGAGAGGAGTAAGGAAAAGCAATAGGCCGGTAAGCTGATATGTAATTTTGAATCTTAACTAGATTGAGAATTTGGTACAACTCAAAATTAAATTAGAGTAATTGCAGTAAAAAAAAAATAGAGAAGAGCAGGGTAAAATAAAATAAAAATTCACTAATAATGAATTGAACTATTCATTCAACAAACATTTATTGGGCATTTCTCCTGGTCCAGGCAGTGGGCTAGATACTAATCAAAAAATAATAATCTCTGTCATGACTGAGCGATGCATGTGAGGCATCCTTAGAATGGTCCTGGAAGATAGATGGGGCTATCTTATTCCATCCAAATTTATATGTAATTTCAGCAC